AAAGAGCTATTCGTTAGAATTATAATTTTAAATATTTTTGTATATTTCTTAATTCGTATATTATTTGATGTCGAAACATTTTACGAAGGAAAACACAAGATAAAGCTCGAAAGATAGACGATTAAATATAATTTTCATGTAATTGCGTTTAAATGTGGAAATGTCAATAATGTTATATTAATGTTGCATAATTGCACGTTTCTTTGCTTGATGTGTAAATGAAGAACAATCTTGAAAGCAATAACGTTTGTATTCATTTTATCGATCGCTTAAACGTCTTGATATTTTATTCATTTATTCATTTATCGAATAGCGAAGGAACCAGTGGATGGCCGATATCACGGCTACAGGTGTCCTTAATCGTAGTAATGTATGCGTAAAATTTTTCTAATCATTGTATCGCAAGCGTAAGAACCAAAGGAATCGGTCGTTGTTTATTATATATTAACGATGTAAATAACGATTAACTAAATCAACAATTTCATAATTTTTATGTTCATAATTTTTATGTTAATACCGTTAAAGATTTGTGCTGTAAATGATTTATGATTAAAAATAAATATTTATAAAATTCGAGTATTCTAAAAATAACAAATCTGACTTATATTCTATATACTTGAAATGTTATTTATCAAAATTTTACAAAAATTTTGCGACAAAATAAAATGAAAATTCGTTTCTTTTTTTTTTTTTTTTTTTTTTTTTTTTTTTTTTGTAAATTTGTAGTATATAGAATATAAGTTAAATTGCAAAAAATATATGTGAAATTCACGATGCAATTAAATAAAACAGAAAAATGGAATGAGATCATGATAAAAATATATGTATCTATATATGATGTAAAAGAAAAAAAAATACATCTTTATAACGACCAAAATTTTATTTTAAATATCAAACTCGTATTTTAATATTTATCTCGAATAATTAATCAAAGAATAATAATAAATAATTAACTTAAAAGGAAAAGAAATGATCCATGATCTTGCTTTTTATCGCGTTTTTATGTATCAGACACTTCCATAGACTTTTTATCAGGAATGTATACGTATTTTGTTTTTTTGGCGTGAAAAACTACTTTATGTAAGTTCCGCGCTAAATCAAACAACTTATAAGAGAACTGCATGAACATGAGCGTAAAAAAGGAAAGTTTAAAAAGTGAAAAAAAAAATGTGAGAATGAAACGCTCCCAAGACGATTACCAACAATTCGATGATTAGTTTTAAATCCCTTTTGTACGTTTATATGCAGTTAAATAACGTGTACATAATTATCTAAATCAGTGTTGTGAGATTAATGCGATTGTAATACCTACACACCGACCCCATTAGCGGAAGGCATGTGCTTCGAATTATTATCCTTGAAATTTCGTGAGGTGATTAAACAGTCCTTTCGAAACATCGTTGTCTTCTTAATGTCGTTGATCTGGGACGATCCAGTTTCCATTATTCTTGTTAAGTACGTTCTGATACGATTTTACTATTTCAGTTATTATTTACTATTTAAGATAATTCTTATTTTTGGCCGTTTATTGCTTGTAATTATGAAAACAAATGTAATAATCAATAATTATTTATTATAAACTAGAGATAGAAAAATTGTTGAATGAATGTCGTTATAAAAAATATTTTATATAATTTTTATTCATACATTTTAAAAATTTAATTTTTAAAAATTTCACATTAAAGAATTATTTCTTTTTTTTTTTTTTAAATACTTGTTATATAGTAAACATAAGTTTCGTCAAATGAAAAATGTTTAATAATTGAAAAATAAAAAAGAATAAAAAAATTGTGTTTGATCTCAAATTGACGATATTAAGAATATATTTTTTATTATTACCTTATAAATACCTTACCTCAAATTATTTAGCTCTTAAATTTGAAAAATTAAGAGATAATAAATTCAATAAAATTTAATCGAAAACAAAAATGGAAAATGCAAATTTGAAACATACATTATATGCATTTATTGTAATTATTCACGTTAAATATATTTATATTGTTCTTCATTTATCTAAAAGAATGAGAATATGTAAATTATAAATTTTTTTTAAATATCAAAAAAAATAAGAAATTGAAGAAAAAATGGATATCTCTAATTAAATAAATTTATTTTCTTTTCTATATGAAAATTCAGTAAATTCCTAAAAAAGTAGTTTCAAAATCAATATCTCAATGAGAAATTCTAGATGAAAACGCCCTCAAAGAAAATCGCGAAATATAGACTTGCTTCTTCTCTAGTGAAGTAATGTTATATCGTGTTGATACTGCATCAAATTCGATTGAACGAATATGTCGTTGATTTGCGCGTGCGCGGGAAATTTAAATAATGAAATACATAGATGAGCATATGCTTTACAATACACCAGCTTATTTTCACAGTTTCATCGATAGATGGCGCGAATACGCGAATAAATTAAAGTTACATTTTCATTAATATGTGTTGCATATAAATATAATTTTATTCTAAGCAAAATAATATAGGATATGAAAAACAAATTATTTATAAATTATTCAATAATTTATATTATAAAATTATAGTTAAATTCATTCATTTATAATATAAAAATATAACCAAAGACTAAATTTACCCATAATGCTCATAATATTTGGCGGTGGAATATTCAAAACAGTGAGAAAAATTAACCTAAAACATGAATTTTAATATATGTTAATCTAACGTCAAACATGAGTGGAATAACAGCAATACACGTTAAAAAATTAAGTAAATATAAATTTTTCAAATATTTTATCTATAATCTAAAAAATAAAGATATAATTTAAAAAAAAAAATTCTTTTAATTTTTCAGGTCATAATATTGAAGAAATACGATTGAGAGCATTAGATAATATTATTTCAAAATACGATCTTGGTTTTGGTTGTGATTGTGATGCTGTAAGAAAAGAATTAATAACAAAATTATTTAATTGGTTTTCATTTGAAACTTTTTCGCAAACTCAAAAAGTTTTAGATTTATTACTTCGTTTACTAAAGGTACTTATTTATGATAAATATATATTTAATTTTTTCTAAAAATATAATTTTTCTTAATTCTTTTTAAATTATAAGAATCAATATAATCAATAGCAATAAAGTCTGAATTATTATATCAAAATTAAAATTTTATTCTTAAAATATATGTTTGTTATATGTTTTTAAGATAAGTGATAAAAATCATTTAAATGCATTTGGTAAAGTAAGATTTCAAAATGAGCTACATGAATTAAGAAGAAAATTAGATTCAGAATGGTATGAAAAATTAAATGAAATTGAAGAAGCAGTTCTTAATTCAGATAAATTGCAAACAATATCATTAAAATCAGAAACTATAAAGGTTTGTATAAAACTTTATTAATAATATTTGTAAATTCAGAAAAAACATTTTAAAGAAATATATCAAATTTTTTCAAGGATCCTAGCTCTCCAAAAATGGGATTTATCGATTATGACCGACATAGAACACGCATAAAAGATTATGAAATTAACAAAATACAAATGAAAGAAGATCATTTGTCTCAAAGTATTACTCCTGTTCTAAATAAGTAAATATTTTAAATATACTTTTTCCATAATATAATAATTCAATTGTAATTGAACAAATATATACAAATAAAAATATATTATATTTATTTTATAGTACAGTACCATTTGATTTAACATTAGAATGTGGAGATGGAACTCCAATATCCAAAGCTACAGAAGGTGGTATTAAATGGTTAATCATGCCATGGCAACCTTTAGTTGCTTCAGATAGAGGTGTTTTAGCAGCAGTTGAAGATGCTCTAAATAATAATTTAGATACAAATCTTATATTACATACTTGTCAATTTATAACAAATGTAATGATGCAGGATTTTCCAGCAGAAGTTTTTCTTCAAAGACCAACTATTGTTTATGTATATAAATATTTCAATTTTTTATTTGATTAATATTTATTAATATTCAATAATGTGGAATAAAATTTCAGATATTACATAATCTGTTAAAATCTAGTACAAATGCAAAAAATACTAATTTTAAAAATATTGTACCAATGGTGTTAAAAACGCTTCATAAATTAACACGTTCTTTAAGACTAAGAATTTATTATTACTGTGAACCATGCATTGCAAATAAAAAACAAAAAGTAAATAAATTAATTAAATTAAGTAATTATATTATTTAAAGATAACATGATATATTGACAATATATATATTTTTTAGTTATTAACAGAAAAATTAAACAATAATGTTTATTCTTCTTCTGAAATAAGAGATAGTCCCGATGGGGGATTCCCAGAAGTTAATTATCAAGCATATCAATCTAGTGTAAGTATTTATTTAAAATTTCATATATATTTATAATTTTTAATTTTCTATATTTTATCTAGGATACAAGTGAAAGAAGTCAAAGTGTATCTGATAATATTGATGATTCTATTTTGCAATTGCAACAAATGCTTATTCCAATTTTTTGCATTGAAACTTTAAAACATGTTATATCTCAATTAAGTATTTCTATTGATTCCAAATTTTTATTAAGAGACATCAAGTACATAATAGACTTGATGTATGAATTAGTAGAATTACTTATTATTAGCATCATGCCAAATGTTTGGCTTTGTAATGATGATATTGCCTTAAAAGTAATTGAAGATATGAAAGTATTATTTGGCATCTTAGGAGATGTTATAGAATATTTTGGAAATTATAGCACAATGGATGATTTCAGGATAACATATTTGCATCTTATTACTATTACAATGAAACTTTTAAGTCATATTGTTCCTTTGGAAATAGCAGATATTATTTTTCCTAAATCTCTTAAAACATCAATATGCATAGCTATAATAGATGCTGCTATTTATTTTTTATATCCAAAACTACACTCTATATTACAAGAATATGGCCGTGTAAGTAATTTTTAGATTTATATATATAATATAGTTCCAATAATTGTAATAATATATAAAAATTAAATTAAAAAATATCATTCATTATTCTTTATATAGCAATTTCAAGATTCTGATGAAATAATGTATATTAAAATATTTGATGAATTAAGAATAATAATGAAATCAATGCAAGCAATCATAGATTTATTAAAAAACAAATCTAATTCATCTCATTCAGAAGTCTTAAAAATGTTATACTCTTCAAAATTAAGTTTATCTTATCACAAAAATTTCAGCATTGTTAAAAAAACTATTGAATTTTTACAAAATATAAATAAGTATATATTTTTTATAAATTATATTAATTTAAGATTATTATTTATTATATCAATATAATTTAATTATTAAAATATAATTTATTTAATATTCAAGGTATTCTCTAAATGATGAAGATCATAAGTTAGCTACAAAATTAATATTAAATTTATTAGCAAATGCAGATGCAGATATACAATATGTCACGTATCTCGAATGTCATACTTTAACTAAAAAAATTCTAGGAATAGAATATAGAAGTGAAATGTTATCCTGGGAAAATTTAATGTTTTTATTCGAATCATCTGTGTTAACTGAAATTATATCTTATGGTATAACACATGATGATAAAAGGGTAAAATAAAATTTTATAAATATGTTTATCTTTAATAATATACTTAACTTATAAAAAATTATTTATATTTTTATTAGATCAGAGAAATGTCTGAAGAAATATTAATTTATATTCTAAAGGGAAGATTACAAATGGGAGAAAATGGATGGTTAAAATCATTAGAAGTAATAGTACCAGTGTTGCCTATTTTACAGTGTTATGCTCATTCTTCTACAACTTTAGGTCAATGTGTAACAAAAATCTTTGATCCTGATGTTTCTACTAACATACAATTACCATTTATTGAGGTATTATGTATATTGTTGAAAGAATATATTTTTTATATATATAAGTTTTAAAATATTATAATCAAATATATGTTCATTTAAAAGGTTTTAAAAGGTAATTTAAGATTCCTATTTTCATCAGAAGAAGCTATTAGAGAAGAAGCTGTTTGTAGATTGATTTGGCTTCTTGAAAAAGAAAAAAATTCAGTTCAAAAATTACCACGATTATCATCTTTACACGATTTACCATTTAATTCGCTTTGCATATTTGATAATCAAATGTCTTTTAAAAAATCTGAAGGCAATTATCAGGTTATATATTTTTATATATATAAATATTTAAATTTAAAAATTTTATATATAATATAATGTAATATATATTTAATTTTACAGAGAAGTAATTTATTATCAGTACTTGAAATGTTAAATGATTCAGATGTTGATCCAAAAATAAGAAAATCAGCATTAGTACAAATTAGTGTCATGCTTACAGATTCTTCTTTACACAAATTGTTTATTACTGAAAATGGATTATCGCTAATCTTAAAAATATTTAATAGTGCTTTGGTAAAATTTATTTTATAATTTTATTTTTGCATTTTATATAAATAATATTTTTAATTCTTTATAAAAGATATTAATTTTTAGGTTGAAAAAGAATATAATAATTATCCAGATTCTGTCATTCCTATAATTACTATACTAAAATTATTAGCATTTTCTGAATCTTCTATACGTCAAGATTTATCTACTCGTATTAACGTTTTCTCGAATATAATTAGAAGTAAGTATAACAAAAATATTGAAATATATAAAATAATTTTCATTTAAGTAAATGAAAACATTAAAATTGCTTATGATCAAAAAATATTTTTATATTTATATTTTATATTTATATTTAGGTCTTTTCCTATTTCCAAATAATGAATGTGTTAAAATTGATGGTTCACAATTATTATGTATATTACTTTATAATGATTACATCATAAGATTGAGTGAAAAATATGCAGAAAATTATAATCAATTAAATGTTGCTTTACCTTATATTATCATATCTAAGATGAAATTACCATTCATTTGTAAATCACATTCGAAAATAAGTAGACATAGACGATCAGATATGTCTGGTAAATTATAAATTTCAAATTTTAAATTTAATAATTATATATCTTTATGTTAATATTAAAAATATTATTGTATAATTTGTTATTAGAAAATTTATTAAATTTATTTTTTTTTTTTTGTTATCCAGTTCTTCATGACAATAATCCATTATCATTAACATTTATAAAACAATATTGGATATGGGAATGGCATAATGGTATAAATGTACTTTGGAAAAATTTAAACAATCTTTATGATTCTGATGTATCAGAAAAATTGAAAATTCAAGAAAACGAATTTTTAGTTTTACGTCTTAGTTCTTCTTATTACTGCTGTCAACAACAATTGTATAATATACAAAATTCAACTACTCATGACTCAGTTTCATGTGCACTTGATTATCTTACAATGTGATTATTGTTTACAACATTTTTATAATAATTGTTTATAATTTTATATCAATGAAAATAATTATTTTTAAGTTGCTAATTATTTTTTTAGGTACATAAAATTTTATAAAATGCAACAATATGAAGAAATAAAAGACATAAGCTTATTACCTTGGGAACGAACATTTGAACGATTTTTATATTCACAACCTGCAAGTAAAGAAGACTGTGATTTATTTGTTGAAGTTTTAAATTTTCTACAAGTTTATATCAATATTACAAAAAATGGTAAAATTTAAATAATCAATAAAATTTACATATTATTTAAAATATAATAAAAATAATTTTATGTTTTCATATTAGGAAAGTATACATGGACTTACAAAATAATGAAAAATATAACTAAATCATTGGGCGAATTATTAAAAAACTCAGAATTAGATAATCAAAATATACATCAATCTATATTGAAATTAGCTCGTATATGTTCAGCTGTAGAAGAAACTGAGAAATCTACTATGGAAGATCAGAACATTTGGTTACATTTTATTGAATTAATTATTTCTACTTTATGTTTAGGAGATCAACAGCATTATTATAATTTAGGTGAATTTCTTTTCTATATGATATTGCATAATATTTAAACCTGTATAAAATAAATTATGATTTCATTACAGCTTATCTTGATTGGTTATTAACTTGTTTAACATATTTAATTGGAAAGTGCAATTGGATAGATTATAAAAATTTATTAATATCATTAGGAAACTCATTGATCGAACTAATTATATCCTTTCATGGAGCTGGAACAGTTAGTTTTATGGGTTTATCCATAACTAGAAATTCTATTATATGTCTTAATCATTTGTTATATCAAATGCAAATAAACTTTAATAAAAATGTAAGTATAATCATTATAAATAGAATCATAAAAAATCTAATATATATAAATATTTTCAGATTTTTGCGCAATTTTGGTATGAAGAAGATCGTACGTTAAATTGGTTGCCCATATTATGGCAAAATCGAGATCCTTTAATTCGAGCATCTGCTTTACAATTATTAGCTGGACTTATGAATAATTTACATACTGCTTCTCAACTATTAAATTCTGTAGCATTAGCACCAAGCGAATTATGTCAGACATTACTTCAATATATTGCTAGTAGAGAAGAATCATGCATTGTTAGAGAACAAGCTTGTTGTGCATTCAGTAGTTTAGTGAAAAATTGCAATTCTATAATTTTTCAATATGTAAGTAAATATTAAATTTTGTCTATTATAAATTTATTATAATATTATTATAAATCCATTATAAATAATATAAGATTATTTTTAAGTTAAATATAATAAATTTTTATTTTATTATTATTATATAATGCTTTATTTAGATGGATTCTCTGAAAGCAAGCTCTATTTTAATATATATAGAACAAAATAACACTTATTACGAAATAAGTGTGCTATGTTCTAGTATTTATATGCTTACTTCTTTGGACTGTGACCATATGAATAATCAAGAACAAGAAACTGGGAAAGTCCCATCTATTCATAGCATGCAATCAAGTTGTACATCAATGGTATCGCGTACAATTTCACATTTATATAATTGTCAAGATGAATTACAACCTTGTACGTATATTTTCTAATTATTATAACTATTTTATAAACAAATGAAAAATTACAAATATAAATATCAATTTTATATTTATATTTTATAGTTTCTGCCAGAGGATCAACTACTGATATAGATAATTATTTACAATTAGTAGCAACACCATCATTGATAACAGCTGTATGTAGACTATTAAATAATTTAATATTTATAGGAAAACAAGAAGTTGTTCATCAAATTTATGAGCATTCTATTGACAAATATTTAATTGGGTAATTAAATATGTATAATCTAGAGCATGTATAATATTTGTTATTTTAAAATTAATACTTTTTTAGGATTTATATTTATAATCTTTCAGATGCATCAATGAAATTCCTAAAGATGTGGAAAATAAAAAGAATTTAACACATTCCTGTGATGTATTAGAAATGTATATTAATATTTGTACAGTTTTAACGAACTGTATTACATATAGTAATGAATATACTCTTGTAGCTAATTTTTCTCTTGATTCACTTTACAAGTTGTTTTGTTTTTTAAACTATGATTTATATTGTAAGTAAAAAATCTAAATTCATAAACTTTCTTAAAAAAAAATTCAATATAAATTAAATTATTATGACGTAATAATGTGCAGGTAATAATATATCCCAGTTGATATCCTTACGAAATAAGCTCTGGACTGAGATTTTCAATTTTATAGCCATACTTTCGTTAACGGAAAATCAACATTTTGAATCAATTCAAACTGCTTTAGAATTGTGTGGTCCAGAAATTGTACTTTCATCTATTTGTATTGCAATGAAAGATTCTAGTCCAGAACTTCGTATCAGTGCTATAAGTTGTCTCGCATTTCTACTTTCTCAGGAAATTCAAAAAGATTCTTTAGGAAAAAGTAATATTTCATTACAATTGGTAATAGATACTCCTTCAATTAAATCATTAACTGGCAACAGAAATGATTTAAGAGAAATTATATCTGATGTTAATAAACTTTCTTTACAAAACGTCAATATATATTCATCAAAATCAAATGGAAATAAAGATATCCCTTTAATTTCCGAAAAAATATCAGATTGTGAAGTTGAAAAAAAGGAAATTATTATGAGTGAAGAGTTTTGTAATATTTTATTACAATTATTTATAGCTCATAATTATAATAAATCTAAAAAAAATAAAAAATTAAATGATGATAAAGATTTGATCACAAGCGCGCTCACTAATTTATTGTGTGTATCAAATATAGCCAAAAAAGTTGCATTAAGAGAAAATTTATCTGAAACAGTTTTAATGATATTAAAAGAATTATATGTCAGATTAAATATACAACCTTTTGAACTTTTCAAAAATCAAACAGATCGTGAAAAAAAGGTAATTTATACACATATATATATTTATATCAAATTTATATATATATAATACCCAAGAATCAGCAAAGAGCTCTCTAATATTATAATTTTAAGAAAAACATGCAAATATTATTCATATATTGACATAGAATTTCCAGTATCATTTTTACAATTATAATAAAAAATTTTGCTTATCTTTTTATACAGATTCATCCATTACTATACGACGTGAATGCTATTTTAATATTACTAATGAATTTTATGTATGGTAGTATAGAAGTTAAAGAAGTTTTGATGAAATTTGGACTAGCAGATGTGTTACATAAATTATGGGCTTGGATTGCATTAAATAAAACAGTTACGACTACTGCTTTAAAATTACTAGCAACCTACACTACAAAATGTTCTACAGGTTAATATTTAAAGTAAAATTTAAATATTTATATTAAATATTAAATGAATAATCATTAAATGACTTTAATTTTTTAGCAGCGCAATCTTTGACATTAACAACTATTTTACCAGGAACAGGTCTTAGAAAAACTCCAAATACTCTTGCTCTTATACATGTTATTGTACAATTAGTTTGTAAAGAAATAGATAAAGCAGGTCAATCCTTTGATAATCATAAGTTACACTTTGGCTTTCATGTTTTACGAAATGCAATACATGTTCATGAATGTAGAGTATCAATTTCAAAGGTAATTTGATATTTTATATATATTATTTTAAAAAAAAAAATAACATTTATTTATTAATTTAAATCTCTTAGAGTAATCTCCTACAGTTTTTTACGAAAATACATCCAATTACGACGAAACGGGCAAAACCATGGCCACTTGTTGAGTTATATTGTTTAGAATTTTTAATTGATTTTACTTATTACGAAGAGGGTCAGTTATGTGTCCCAAAGGTAAAATTAAATTTATAATTTATAATTTAAATTTTCATATCTCAATATCATAAAAATATTTTAATTTCCTTAATATGTAAATTAATTGTTATTCATTATTTCATATAATTATGAATAATTCATTCTTTTTTCAGGCTGTTGATGGGTTGGATGTTTTATTGCAATTGTCAAAATACTCTTCATCATCTAATAGAATTCTTGCAATTTCCATATTACGTAATCTTGCATTTAACATGACTAATCGACCGCGATTACTTAGTTCAGGTAAATTAATATATAATTTATCTTAGTATCGCATTATATATTATTATTTAAATTACTTTTAACATAATAAAAATGTTTCAGTGGATTTCATTAATGTTCTACATGATATATTTAAAAATGGTTCTTTAGATGAAATTAAAATAGCAGGTTCTATGTTATGGTCTTTAATATCTAACAATCAGAAAGGAAAATTAATTATACGAAGTGCTGGTTTTTCTCAAAGTATACAAGAAGCTTTAGGTAAATTTACGTTATTAAATGTAGATCATAACAAAAATGAAGAAGATTTAATTAAAATATTACAATATGTATTAAAAATTCTTAATCCAATAGACATTAAAAATGATTAAAATGAGCAATCAAATAAAATATTTAAATGCGAATAATTGTATATAGAAATAAAAATGTTAAATTATGTGAATAATATTATTAATGAAATTTGTAATATTTTTTATATAAAAAATATATGTAATATCGATTTATACAATTTTTATTTTTATAAATATATAGTGTCATTTTTATAGATATATTTTTTGATGTATTATTGATGTATTATTATAACATAAATATTTTATAACATTTGATAATAAATGTTATTTAATTTATTGATACATTTATATTTGTTTATAAAATGAATGTGTATTAAACTATTAATATGACTTTATGTAAATTAAATTATTTCATTGCGCTAATAATATCTATTTCTCAAGTTGCATTCGTTCGCGTTCAATAATCGAAGATAATACGATTTCATTCATATGATGATTGCATCTTGTATTATGTAATTAATTGAATAAAATGTGGATCTAAGTAATATATAAATGAACAATATATACCAAATACATATCAATTAAATTAATATCAAAAATTTTAAATTGAAATAGTAATTAAATAAATTTATAAATTTATAAATTTTTAAATTTATAAATAATAAATTCAATGAATGATGAAATATGATTATTGAATTGGTAAATTTTAATAAAAATATCTTACTAAAAAAAAAAAAATATACAGAATTCACGATCGTATATATTAACGTACAAAAATATCAAACCCGTTTAGCAGATTTTCTTGCCATGATTTTTGCGGATCAATATTTTTTTTTTTTAATGGTTTCCATAGTTTCTATCAAAAATATTCGTTTCTATTTTAATTTCTATCATAAGCAACTAATAGATTCAAAAAGAAGAAAAATTAAAGATAATCTTTTTTAAAATAATATTTTGATGTATAATAATATGATATATTTAATACTTATATAAAAATATTATCATTTTGAAAAAAATTAATAATATGAAAAAAAAAAAAAAA